ACATTCAATCTTTCATTAAGCATGATGTTAACTGTAGATTTTTCACAGATGCCCTTGAGAAAGTTCCCTTGTATTCATCATGAATGAGTGTTGGGTTTTGTCAGATTCCTTTTCTATGTCTACTGAGATGATCATGTGATTTTTTTCTTTTATGGTGTTTTACATTATTGATTTTCAGTATTAAACCAACTTTACATTCCTGAGATAAGTCCCACAGAGCCACGGTATATAATCTTTTTTATGTTTCCAGATTTGGTTTGCTAATTATTTTGTTAAGGATTCTCATGTCATACTCATGAGAATAATCTGTGTTCTTGTGATTCCTTTGTCTGACTTTCTATCAGTGTGATATTGGCCTCATAGAATGAGTTGAGACCAATTCCCTCCTCTTCTATTTTTTCAGTTTGTGAAGGATTGATACTCATTTTTCTTTGGTAGTGTTTGGTAGTATTTACCTGTGAAGCCTTCTGATCCTGGGCTTTCCCTTGTGGGTAGATTTTTAATTACTGATTGAATTTCTTTACTTGTTATGGTTGTAATTAGATTTCCATTTCTTCTTGAGTCCCTTTTGGTATTTTGTATCTTTCTAGGCTCTTGTCCAATGAAGTTGACTAATTTGGTTGCATAAACTTGTTTGGAATGTTGTATTTTAATTTTTCAAAGTTTCTGTAGTATGGTCCTAACTTTGATAACTTTTCTTTTTTTCTTTTTTATTGCCTAGTCTAGCTAGAGCTCCGATTTTGTTGCTCTTTTCAAAGAACCAGTTTTTGTTTATTGTTTTCTATTGTTTTTCTGATGAAGAGTCAGCCATTAACCATATTGTTGTTCCCTTGTATATGAACGGTTCTCTGTTTTCAAGATATTGTCTTTAGTTTTCATCAGTTTGGCTATGATGTGTCAAGGTATGGATTTCTTTGTGTTTATTCTATTTGGAATTAATTAAACTTCTAAGATCTATGTATTAATGTTTTCCATTAAATTTGGAAGGTTTTGGCCATTATTTCATAAAATATAGTTTTCTGCAATTTCCTCTTGTTTCTCTCTTCCTGAGAGTCTCATTACATGTATGTTGATAATATTGATTTTTGCCTCCATAGGTCCCTGAGGCTCTGTTCATTTTGTTTTTCTTCTTTCTTTCACTTTGACTATTTCTTATTGATATATTTTACTGATTCTTTCTTCTGTCATCTCAAATATGCTATTTGTCACATCTACTGGATTTTTCATTTCTGTTCTATTTTTTACTCTAAAATTTCCATTTGGTTCTCCTTTTATTTTCCAATTGAGAGTCCCTGTTTATTGAGTCATTGTCATCATCTTTTTCTTTAATTCTTTAAATTATAGTTTGCTTTAATTATTTGAAAATATTTATAACAGCTACTTTGAAGTCTTTGTCAGCTAAATCCAACATCTGAGTCTACTCAGAATCCATTTTTACTGGCTTTATTTTTTTCTGAGTGTCAGTCACAATTTTCTTTTTCTTAGCATGTCTCCTAATTTTTTTCTTTCTTCTTCTTTTCTGCTTCCTCCTATAATCCAGTCTTATCTCTTATTTTTTGTTGTTGTTGTTGAAAACTGAATATTCTAGGTAATATTATGGCAATTCTGGAGTGTTTGTTGTTGTTGGTGGTGGTGGTTCAATACAAGGTCTCACTCTGTCAACAAGCTGGAGTGTAATGGCATGATCATAGCTTTATTGTACTGTAACCTTGAACTCCTAGGCTCAAACCATCCTTCTGCCTCAGCTTCCTGAGTAGCTAGGACTACTGGCATGTACTACCACACCCAGAGAGTTTAAACTCTTTTTGTAGAGACAGGGTCATGTTGTGTTGCCCAGGCTGGTCTTGAACTCCTAAGCTCAATCAATCCTCAGGCCTCAGCCTCCTAAGTAGATTAATGGTATTTTTTACTCCCATCTGTTGCCTATTCAATTATCAGTAAGCTTGTTCATCTTTCTTTCCTTCTTCGTTCTTCTAACATAGTTTAGTTACATTACTTTCTACTTTGTCAGAATTTATAATATTTATTTCTTATTCTTCCACTCTTATTTCTACCTTTACTTTGATATTTAAATATATTAAAGGCTCACCGTAAATCCTTTTGCTGAAATTTTCCCAGTCAACTCTTGGTTGGATGAAGGTCTTTCACTAATAAATTCAAGAGGACTATGGGTACAGTATTCCTTGAGTTCTTGCATTTTTTTTTTTTTTTGAGATGGAGTCTTGCTCTGTTGCCAGGCTGGAGTGCAGTGGCACAATCTCGGCTCACTGCAACCTCTGCCTCCTGGGTTCAAGCGATTCTTCTGCCTCAGCCTCCTGAGTAGCTGGAACCACAGGCATGTGCCACCATGCCCAGATATTTTTTGTATTTTTAGTAGCAACGGGGTTTCATCAAGTTGGCGAGGATGGTCTCGATCTCTTGACCTTATGATCCACCCACCTCGGCCTCCCAAAGTGCTGGGATTACAGGTGTGAGCCACCGCGCCCGGCCCTTGCATGTTTTAAAATATTTATCAGTTGGGTGAGGAGGTTCATGCCTATAATCCCAACATTTTGGGAGGACAAGGTGGGAAGATTGATTTAGTCCAGGAGTTTGAGACTGGGCTGGGCAGCAAACCAAGACATTATCTCTACAAAAAAAAATAACGAAATCAGTCATGTGTGGTCCCAGCTGCTTGGGAGGCTAAGGTGAGAGGATTGCTTGAGCTTGGGAAGTCAATGCTGCAGTAAGTCTTGATTGTACCACTGCACTTCAGCCTGAGCAACAGAGCAAGACCCTGTCTCACAAAAAACAATTTAAATATTTGTTTAATGTTTAGCTATAGCTTTGATACTTGAAGGACACAGCTTGGCTGAATATAAAATCCTTGGTTTTCACTTTTTTTCCCTTGAGTTTCTTTAAGATGTTGCTACACTCTTACTTTGTAGTGTGTATTGCTCTTAATAAGTCTGATGTCACTCTGATTCTCTTACAGTTATTTAATCTTTTGTCTGGAGGTTTGGAGAGTATTTTCTTTATCTTTGATTGTTTTATTCAAATAGTCTCAGAGTTAGTTGTTCTGGGTCAGTTTTCCCAACTACCTAGTGGGCCTTTTCAATATATGTAATTAGATTTTATTTTATTTCCAGAAAATTTTCTTGGATTATTATTTCAACTATTGATTCTGTTTCATTGTTTTTTCTTCTTCAGGGACTCCAGTTATACATATGTTGGGTCTTATTTGCCTATCTCCATTTCAACTTTCTGTCTAATCTTTTACCTTTTTTTCTTCATTTTAATTCTCATAATTACTGTTCTGCCTTTCTTTAATGCCCCAATCAAATTTTCACTGGAATCTATTCTCCTATCAGCATCTCATAATTTAGTTATTTCTTAGATGATTTTGTCTTTTTCTGATGATTTTTTTCTGGGTTCAATCAACTATCATTTTTTATCTTTTATCCTAGTCTACTCACCAGTAGCCAAAAGAAAAAAGTAAAAATAAATTTTTATATATGCGTGTGTGTTCGTGTGTGTATATATGTATATATATGTATATCTTCTTAAATAATTTTTGTCTACTTGTGATTTTACTATTTGAATTTCTGATTCAGAGTGGCTTTTCATATCTCCAAATTGTGAGAGGATATTTATTTATTTATTTATTTATTCCTGTTTAACTGTTCATACTTTATTCTTCTATCAGTAGGTTAAGAAAGTAAACTTTTCCCAAGCACTGATTTATAGGTCATATTTATAAGCGGCACACAAAAGTAAGTTTCATAAACAATAACATTCAATAATCTACTTAAATGTAATTGTAATTCTTACTTTAAGCTCAGGGCAATAATTTAATACAATAGACTAAATACACACAAAACCTGTATATCCAGAGCTACAAACATGGTTTCCGTAGCCACATATGGTTTAGCCACAAAGGCCACATTTCCACAATGAACAAGTTCTTACAAATATGTAAATAAAACACTAACCCAAATGCTTATCCCGCCATCAGCTTTTTAAGCAATGCCATTCCTGCTACTGAAAGCGTTTATTTTTAGAAGCTTGAATCTGATCTGGGAAAACGAGTTCTCCTAAAACTTACCAGGATGTTATAAGTTCGAAAAGATTTTAACTCAAAAAGCCTTCCAACACAGCATTATTTACGTGAAACTTAGTTTCTTAAATAAAAATAATAACTTGTTATCAGAAGAAAATTAAAACAAATTATCTTTTAAGAGAGATAAACATTCTTACAAAAAAACTGTATTTTCTCTATCATCTCTTTAAAAGCTCATTATCTGTATTTATTTGTTTGAGACAGAGACATTCATGCTCTGTTGCCCAGGCCGAAGTGCAGTGACGCTGTCTCAGCTCGCTGCAATCTCCACCTCCTGGGTTCAAGCAGTTCTGCCTCAGCCTCCCAAGTGGCTGGGATTACAGGTGCATGCCACCATGTCTGGCTAATTTTTGAATTTTTAGTACAGGTGAAGTTTTGCTATATTGGCCAGGCTGGTCTACATCTCCTGGGTTCAAGTGATCCACCCGCCTCGGCCCCCCAAAGTACCGGGATTACAGGCGTGAGCCACCGTGGCCAGCCCAGTTCATGATCTTTAATAATAATTATATTTAATGATGTTTAATAATAAACTAGATAGTAAACTAATTGTTGTCTAAAAACTTCCAAATACATAAAGTACATGTCTGAGCTGTCAAGTCAAAAATGCCATTTAGATTTCGCATATTAAACAGCTACAGTATAGCTTACAAGGGCATAAACATACCTAACACATAAATACTGCTTTTTCCTTTAGATAGTCAAAAGTCAGAAGGAACTGCATGGTTTGCAAGGTACCGTGACTTATGAGTGGTTATTAAAACCCAGGAAGTAATTCAAGTATGGTAATACAAAGGCAGGTAATTAAACACACCAATATCACTCTAAAATCAAAGGCATAAAAATACAGGTTGAGACTGGGCTCAGTGGCTCATGCCTGTAATCCCAGCACTTTGGGAAGCTGAGGCGGGTGGATCACCTGAGGTCAGGAGTTCAAGACCAGCCTGGCCAACATGGTGAAATCCGTCTCCAAAAAATAAAAATAAATAAATAAAGGCTGAAAACTTTGTGTTTCTCCATCTTTCATTTCCATGGCTAGATATCAGAGCCTTACTTTAGAAGATATACAGTTATATATGATATCCCCAGATGGTAATTTTCAGAAACTACAAAAAGTGTCAAGATCCATAGTTTGCTTCATCAAATGCTTTTCTAGCTCGTTTCAATTCTTCATTCATAGTAAGCAAGTCTTTAACCTTGGCAAACTTCCTTGGGTCCTTTCGAATCAGGAAGACGATATCTTCAACTTGTACTCGACCTTGTCTTCCAATGGACATTGCCTTGTGAGTCATTTCAGTGATAAACTCTATGACAAGATCTTCAAGAATATCCACTGACTCAGTATAAGGATTCTGGTCATCCCCAAAGCCATACATCATACATCGCAATTCTTTAGAAAAAAGTCTCTTTCTTTTACCCTGTCCACCTTCTGCACCTCCTCCAATTTCTTCATTTTCTTCCTCAAAGGTAGGGTCCTCTTCCTCATCTGCCATCCCACTAGCCCGCCAACCCACCGCCGTGAGAGGATATTTAAATCGGTTTGGAGAGTTCGTTGTTAGTTTTTTTTTTGTTGTTGGTTTTTTTTTGCTTCCTGGTTAAATGACTTTCATTAACTGAAATTTTTGGATTCTCATTGATTTTTTCTTCCAGTAATATTTAGTATGGGGACTGCTTTTCACTGTTTCATTTCTCAGGTAGGTTTTGGCTGTTAGTAACTGACTATCATTCTAGGCCAAGAGAGTCTTTTCTGTCACTGTACCAAAGTGCAGTTTCTTTCATTAATGACACTTTTCCACCATCTTCGTGGTGTCAGGAGGATTCACATGTCCTTCAATTCAGAATTCTCTTTTGTTTTGCAAGATGCCAAGTTTATCCCTCTTCCTTTTTTCCTTTACTGTCCAGTCTCTAGCAGGTGCCGTACTGACTACTGCCACCTCGATACCCATATACTTTTAAACCCCTTCCTTGAAGTGAATGCTGTGATCTACCAGGACACTCTTAGAGTATTTTTACACTTGTGATGTGTTTTCTCTTTGGGAAGGAGATGATCTTAAGTCTTTCTTAGGCCCTTGTTTTCCTCTTCTGTCTTTCTTACAGTTTTTCTAGATCTCAGCCCACTCATATCTTTGCCTTCTGCCAAGGTTTATAGTGGGAGCTCAAGAGATATCCCTTCCAGAATTTGGGCTTGGCTTTTCTACCTAAGTTTTTAGAGCCCTCTGTCTTCTTGTTATATTGAAGTCTTTGGATTTATGCGGTTTTATTTGTCCTGGTTGATTTTATTGCTTTATGGAAGAGGTATGAAGAGATTAGGTTTAGGCAGCTGTCAGTGTCCTTGGCCACCTCAAAGTCCCCCCACCACACGTACCTTGACAACCCATTTAGGCATAACGTGGAGCATGTTTGTGAACTTTGGGTGTTGACAGAGGATAAGAAAGAAGAGAAGGCATTTGGTTTAGAATGTTCCCATTTTTAGATGATTCTGTCCATTCATGTAGAGATGTTCATCAAGCGGTTGGATAGTTGAATCTCAGATAAGAGATTAGGAATTACTACCTCCAGGAATTCTGTTACAGTCCTAGCAAGCCAGAATTAGAGCTGTAAATTCCTTTGTGGAATTTCTGCCTTGGTCTAATTCCTGCTTGCATGCTCAGACCCATTTTCCATGAATGTATAGTAGGGCTTTTGAAAACAGAAATATTGAGAGGTTACCAGCTGAAGCACTATTTTCTGGAGCTTTATTTTATTGCATTTAGCAGTTTGGTTGATGTGATTGCCAGATCTAAATATTAGTCTGAGGAATCAGTCATTACTGAATCTGTTGAGAAAAAAAGAAAAAACATAAATCAATAGAAAATCAACTACCTACAGGGAAATAAGAAAATAGGCCGGGCACAGTGGCTCACACCTGTAATCTCCGCACTTTGGGAGGCCGAGGCAGGTGGATCACAAGGTCAGGAGAGCGAGACCATCCTGGCCAACATGGTGAAAACCTGTCTCTACTAAAAATACAAAAATTAGCTGGGCATGGCTGCACATAACTATAATCCCAGCTCAGGAGGCTGAGGCAGGAGAATCGCTTGAACCAGGGAGTTGGAGGTTGCAGTGAGCCAAGATCCTGCCACTGCACTCCAGCCTAGTAACAGAATGAGACACTGTCTCAGAAAAAAGAAAAGAAAAGAATGCATAAATTAAAACTTCATAATTAAGCTTTTTGTCATATTTATAGTTTCCCCCAGTGACTATAGCACTTATCAAGTAGGTTAAATTAACAAATATATAAAGTTTTATACCAATAACTTTATCTTGTTTTATTTTAGAGACAGGGTCTCCCTCTGTCGCCCAGGAAGTAGTGCAGCGGTACAGTCATAGCTCGCGGTAACCCCAAACTCCTGGGCTCAAGTGATCCTCCCACCTTGGCCTCCAAAAGTGTTGGGATTACAGGCATGAGCCAATGCTCCCAGCCAGATGCCAATAAATTTCTAAAGCAAATTCCCAGTTTTTCCTACCCTCTTTCCAGCCATAGATTACTATGCAAATGTATGCATACTCCCATCTAAATATCTTTAAAATAATAATGCATAGGTAAAAATACAGTATAACTAATAGGGTTTTCAGAACAAAATCTGTGATGGATTTTCCATGTGTTACTTGAGTGTGTATTCTTGAATTTTCTTTCTTTAATAAGAGAGGAAATCTAATTTATACCAAAAAAAGCAGCACTGTAAAAAACAGTATGTCAATAGTCATTTTATCCAGGTAAACATTTTTCTCCATTGTATACTTTTATGGTGGCAAGTGGAAGTAGTCAATTTCTTTCACCATTGAGATCATCTGTAGATGGAAAAGACAATATTAGAGAAGTTTTAAAAAATGTGTACTCATTCAAAACAAGAGAAATTTTACAAGTAGTCAACTCTTTAACCTGGCCTTTTGTTATTACCAAGACCTGGATAAAGTGGTTCTTTGAATTATGCATTTTGTTTGTTTGTTTGTTTTTGTTTTTGTTTTTGGGGTGGAGTCTTGCTCTGTCACCCAGGTTGGAGTGCAATGGGGCAATCTCGACTCACCACAACCTCCACATCACAGGTTCAAGCAATTCTCCTGACTCAGCCTCCCAAGTAACTGGGATTACAGGCCTGTGCCACCACTCCCAGATAATCTTTTGGTATTTTTAGTAGAGACAGGGTTTCACCATACTGGCCAGGCTGGTCTCGAACTTCTGACTTCAGGTCACCTGCCTCAGCCTTCCAAAGTGCTGGGATTACAAGCATGAGCCACCTCGCCTGGCTGAATTATGCATTCTTTTGAACTTAACTGAGAGACTGTGTAGTGTAGTGATTAAAATTGTGTTCTTTGAAATCTCACTGCCTGGGTTCTAATTCTGTAGTACCTTCACTGCGTCTTAATTTTCTAATCTGTATAATTGAATAAAAATAACACCTACTTCATAGAATATTTGTGCACATTATATGTAATTTGCATAGAACAGTGTTAAGTGCCATTATTATTATAATCATTTTTTTTTTTTTTTTGAGACGGAGTTTCGCTCTTGTTACCCAGGCTGGAGTGCAATGGCGCGATCTCGGCTCACCGCAACCTCCGCCTCCTGGGTTCAGGCAATTCTCCTGCCTCAGCCTCCTGAGTAACTGGGACTACAGACACGCACCACCATGCCCAGCTAATTTTTTGTAGTTTTAGTAGAGACGGGGTTTCACCGTGTTGACCAGGATGGTCTCGATCTCTTGACCTTGTGATCCACCCGCCTCGGCCTCCCAAAGTGCTGGGATTACAGGCTTGAGCCACCGCGCCCAGCATATTATAATCATTATTAGGTTACATTAACATGATTCTGCTGGATAAAGTGAGGTGGAGTTTTTGAGACAAATTAGGATTTTTTTACTTTTAATTCTTAGACTGATTTATTTAAGTATGTTGGCCTTATTCATCATTTACCATTTAATTTGGTCACCAAAAAATTCAAGAATGGATGACACAAAACAGAAAAGCCCAGTAATTCCGTAGAAATCACTATAGATGTGAAAACAGTCATGAAGAATGTTGTGCGTGCTTATCATTATTTTCTTTTGGGGCTAAGAACTTAAGAATCTGTTCTTCCATGCAAATAAAAACTAAGAGCAAAACATATTCAAAAGGGATTCTGTTATTTATTTATTATTTATTTATTTATTTTGAGATGGAATTTTGCTCTTGTTGCCCAGGCTGGAGTGCAATGGCACGATCTCGGCTCACCGTAACCTCCACCTCCCAGGTTCAAGGGATTCTCCTGCCTCAGCCTCCCAAGTAGCTGGGATTACAGGTGCCCGCCACACCCAGCTAATTATGTATTTTTATTAGGGATGGGGTTTCTCATGTTGGTCAGGCAGGTCTTGAACTCCCAACCTCAGGTGACCTGCCCACCTCAGCCTCCCAAAGTGCTGGGTACGCCACCACACCCAGCCTGTTATTGTTTTTAAAGACTGCTTTGTTCAACAGCCCACATTTTCTTTTTCTTCTCTCCACCAGGTGGAAGTATAGCACTTTTTGTACCATGTCTTCTTACACAACTCCTCCTAGTCACTGTGCATGCACTTGGGTTAGAAGAGAAAAGATAAACAGCATATTCCAGAGTATGAAATGTTCCTTCAGCTGGATTTTACAGCATCATATTTCAGTAATTTACTTGAGGATAATGAAAACAATAGATAGGATAAGTTTCCTTTCCACAAATTCTTTTAATTCAACAGGGGTAAACATAGACCCATTGTCATAAATAGCATATGAAATCCTTTGATAGCTGGAAGAACTGCAGAGGACTAAACTAAATGGACAAAATAATATCCAAATATTTTTAAGTGGATTTCCAATTAATTGATGAAAATAAACCTTTGGCATCTAGGCAAATTGGTTGTATGTAGACTGTGAGAACATTGTCTTTTATAGCTTGATTAAGGTAAGTCTATCTTATTTTCCAGGTGCAGCATTGTACTGCAAGTCAATCAATACAATAATAATTTAAATCACTTCAGCTATAATGGAAAAGTATGAAAAATTAGCTAAGATTGGAGAAGGGTCTTATGGAGTTGTATTCAAATGCAGAAACAAAGCCTCTGGACAAGTAGTAGCTATTAAAAAATTTGTGAAATCTGAAGATGATCCTGTCGTTAAGAAAATAGCACTAAGAGAAATACATATGTTGAAGGTAGGTTAACTTTATATATATATGTATATATAAAGTATCATGGTATTGAGTGAACTATGCATGCTAAAATTACAGAGAATTTTAAAGTTATTTCCTCCATTGGACTTAAATTCCTTTGCATCAGCACCTTTGGGTAATAAGTTGATTATCACTTTGGACTTTGACCATTCTGATTTTGTCTGATATATATGAATACAGCTATAGATCATGATATTGTAAAGAACTTTTATTCTGGTTAATAAATATCCTAAGTTCATTCACCCCAGTGTTTAACTCACTCCCAACCCTGGCCCTCCTCTGGATATCCCTCCAAA